CACCCAGCACACACACTTTTTGCCCCACTCCCCTCAGGAAGGAGGTTAAGGAGCATTAAGTGTAGAACCACTAGACTGAGGAACAGCTTCTACCCTGAGGCTGTTAGACTCATGAATCTCTAACTAGAATAATCACTGTGAAAAACCATATCATGTTGCTGCTGATCTGTTTCATGTTGCTGCTGATCTGTTTCAATGTTGATGTGTTCATGCGTGCACATCCGCTCACAGACTCATGTTCATGTTTGTGCTGATGTTCAATGTTTTATGTTATGAGTGCTTAGTGTATATTTAGTTGATGTTTTTCTTAGTTCATATCTTAGATGTTATTACTGTTTTTCTTATACATTTTATTGTTGGATGTAACTGGGACCCTGTGTACATAATTTAGCTCCACCACATGTACCACATGAGGTGCGAATGACAATAAAGAAACTCTGACTCTGATATAAACAACTTATGGATTTGGACATAGATTCAGTAGGTAAAATTGGGAGAGCTTGGGAACAGGAGTTGGGTATAACTATTTCAGATCAACAGTGGGAGAAAGCAGTATCCAATGTTCGTTACAGTACACCTTGCGCCAGGTTACAACTTATTCAGTTTAAGGTACTATATAGGGTTCACTATTCAAAGTCTCGTCTGTCTGAGTTTTACTCACAAGTGGTGGATCAGTGTGAGAGATGTCATGCCAGTCCATGTAACCTGAGTCACATGTTCTTTATGTGTCCAAAACTCCAGAGCTTTTGGAGCCAATACTCAGCCATTCTTTCCAAAGCACTTGGAATTCAAATCTGTATTAACCCTTTCTTAGCTATTTTGGGGCTTCCAGTCAGTACTGTACTAAGTGACCCTACCCACGCTAAAGTATTGGCCTTTACATCACTTTTAGCCAGGCATTGTATTCTACTCCTTTAGAAATCTTCTAAGACACTTTCCATTTCTTTGTGGTTTTGAGATGTTATATATATATATATATATATATATATATATATATATATATAATGAGTGCTGTATACTTGTGTTCTTCAATAAACAGGTTAATATAAAAAAAACGGATGCCCGTGTGAGTTTTCTTTCAGGCTGTGGCAAAGCAGCGACACAAATAACATATTGAAGTACCATCAGTTGAACTGCTGCAGTAGTATAAATTTTAATGAAATCATATTTCATCTTTGGTGAGCTCCTTGAACTTCCCCAGATGTTCCAAAACTTCATCAATCAGAAAATGCTGTCAACTAAATCCATTTGAAAATCTACCAGCTGCAGTCGATCAGGATCCCTCATGAGAAGTTAAAGACCTTTAACTTGTCCAGTTAGAGAACCGTCTAACCTTCTGTGCTGCTTGTTAAAGGGTTAAGACTAAATTTTGTCTATAATCAAACAGTATGTTTCTGTAGAAGAAAAATAATCTGCATTAAATTCAAACTTGTGCAGATGTGCTCTCTAATCTTGATCTGAAAAATAGTGAATGTAAGTAAATAATGTAATTTACAACAGATATTTATTGTTCATGTCCCCTCCACAGAATCTCTCTTCTAAAGATCTGAACTGTTGCTTTAACTTCGTGTTAAAACAACGGAGTGTCAAACCGAACAAATCAAACCAGCTGTTTGACTCTTGCTGTTGTTTATCTCAGTAAAATGAGATCTTCAGGAAGTGCACGACCTCACAGTGGATGTTTGTCTAACACAAGAGAATGAATGTTGATGATAAATTAAATCAATGATATAACTTGGTGTGAACATACGTAATGTTTCGTGTGTGTTTGTTGTGTTTCAGTTGATTTTCAGTGATTTTCCTGTTTTGTGGTTTTAGGCCCTACTTCACCTACTGGATGACATTTGTTCATATACTCATCACACTGCTGGCCTGCTGCACGTACGGGTTCGCCCCCGTAGGTTTTTCACAAAACTCCAAAACTGAACTGGTTAGTGAAACTCCAAACTTTAAAACTTGTCCTGACAAGATCTGTGAGTAAACTAAACAAATGTTAAGTGTCCTGTTCAGTAACGTGAAACAATTATGGATGTCCCTTTTTGTTTGTTCTCTGCTCCTAAATTTTCCTTTTATTATTATTTTTTTTCACGGTTTGTTCATATTTCTCAGTTGGAGGCTCTGAATTATTGTTCTACTCTGTCGACCTCTGCAGGTGCTGAGGAACAAAGGCATTTATGAAAGCGTCAAGTTTGTCCAACAGGAGAACTTCTGGATCGGTCCGAGCTCTGTGAGTTTCCTCTGTTTGATGTTGCATGTTTTTACTCTGAAACTCAAAGAACCCTGAGGACGTGCTGCACACAGTCCTAGATAAACTGTGGTGTACTCTAGAGCCCAGTGGATGTGGACATTAATGTGGACATTTGGCTCTCACTGACTGATATTGGGAGGGGAAGGTTAACTTCATTAACCGATGTACTAACTGAACATTTCTGAGCTTTGTCCTCCCCCAATAATCTCATTAAATATCTACATTTAATCCTGTTTTAACACTTGAAGTCTTGAAACAGTCTTCCTAACGTGTGTTCACATTTTCTATCCTCCACTATTCACCATAAAGTTATCAAGTGTGTTACAAAAATATAAATTAAACAAAAAAAACATCCTTCCTGTTCATTGTTTAAACAGTCAGCCAGTATGGTGAAGGTCTAATTAGTATTGACCACAGCAGAGTTTATTTTTCTTTACAGAGAAGTAAAAAATTCAGACAGTACATTTCATTGAGGACGACAAAGATAAAGTTACTAACTCCGATATATTTTACCTCTACGTTAGATTTATTGTTCTGGATAAAAGCCTATGCTAGGTTATCTAAACGGTAGCTTGCTAGCTTGAGAGGTATGTTGCTAATGACAAGCAGGTTGGAGGATCAAAGAGAATTTATTATAGTTGATTTATTAAATTTTATAGATCAATTAAAATAAACTTACTATGCTCTGTTCAGCAAAATACTCTACACAGTATTGTTCTCTGCTTCAGCTGTGTTGAAAGTGAAAGCTAAAATGAACGGCCATGTGAAAGTCTTCATGCTCCCTCTGCTGGATACTTTGTACAATTACAGCTGGTTCCAGCATTTTAGGGGTGAATATTAGAAGTGTTTATATCTATAATTATTATTATTATGATTATGTCATCACAATGTCAGCACTGTATGTTTCCATACAATGGTGAAATTAGTCTCTGCATTTAACCCATCCACCACCAGGTGGTGCAGTGGGCAGCTATTGAAAGTGCCCGGGGGACATTTTGGGGATTAGACGTGTTGCCCAGAGACGCCACGTGATGTGCAGTGACTGGGGATCGAACCTGGGACTCTCGGGTCCCAAGCCGGCTGCCCTGCCTCTACACCATCTCGGCCCCTAATGGGACAATTATCACTGATACTGATATGTCCCAAAATGTCTATATCAGCCTTAAATATTGGTCCAGCTGATATATCGAGTGGACTCTGGTGTACTCACTGTAGCCCAAATTTTATTAAGAGCTTTTGTACAAAACATGCATTTATTTTTCGGTATAAACACACCCTGCTGTTATCTCCTGCTGCCATTTTTATCAGCTGCTATTCTTCCTACATGTACATTTATGGCTGATGACAGCTGCAAGTCAAATACCATCAAATGACAGGAGCTTAGCTTCGTTCTATTCATACAGCATGTAAAGGTTAATTTGATACTTAAAACATCTCAGTCCTAATGTATGAAGGAATGTTTGTCAAACATGCAGTGACTCAAGTATCGAGGATTTTCTCTTGATGTGTGGATGTCAGATTTAGTGTTGAGACTTCACTGTGGGCCATGAAACACCAAGAGTGTAATAAAAATAAAGTTTGTTAATAGAGTTTTGTCATGAATGTTTCAATAAATAATTAAACAGCAGCCACGAACAAATAAGACGTGAAGATGCTGGTTGTGTTGTCATTATGTCCTCCTCTGTACAGAAACATTTCACTCTTTCTTCTAACTGAATGTCATTTTCTTGTTTTTGTCACAGTTTGCTACACGGAAAAAACCCAAACAAAAAAAAAAGTCACAAAGTGCAGCTCAGTCAGGAAAAGTGTGCTTTGACTTGTTAACTTAGTCAAATGTTAAAAGAGAAAACCTTTTTTTAATTTTTTTATAAACACAATAATATGATTTGGACAAAATGAGTGATCGAACCTTGTCCTCTTTGGGCTCACAGCTTAGACAACCATAGTAGAAACTTTATTCAAAGCCAACAGCTCATAAAAAGTTACATTTTAGAACAATGTAGTGATATTTGACAGGTTCTACCCTGCTACAGTTTAGGTTTTGTCATTTTTTAACACTTTGTAACAAAATGTTCTACATTGTGACATTAACATTTAAACTGCAGAAACTTTCTAAACCATTTCCCAAACAAACTCTTCTTTCTACAACCTTTACTTTTGTTTTACAGTTCATACATCAGGACGTAGGTATCTTGGTCTTCATGATGTCTTTCTCTCTTTACCTCCCAGGAGGATCTGATCCACTTGGGGGCAAAGTTCTCCCCCTGCATCCGTCAGGACAAACAGATCGTCAACCTGATCAAAAAAGCCACAGAGCTGGAAAGAGATTCAGGCTGCTGCATTCAGAACGACAACTCTGGCTGTGTGCAGACACTCAGTGACGACTGCTCGGTGTGTACAACAACAGAGACAGGACAATCTTTACATTCCAAGTTAGCTGATAACCAGAATCATATACTGTGAACCACCTCTGTAATCTGGTGTGCCAGTGGAAGATTGTCTTTAAAATACTTAAATAACTGCAGGAGACCTTGGCCACCTTCATGAAGTGGAACAATGACCATGTGGACTCCACCAGGTCCTCCGGCTCCGTCTGCCACCAGGACCCCAGGTGAGGACTGAAGATGTCTGCCTGATTGCATTAAAATCATGTCGCAGAATCAGGCTTGCAGTGTTTTAAAGTTAGTAAAGGATATTCTCTGTTGACCTGCATGTGCTCAGATTGTGTGAAGAGCCGGCCTCTGCAGAGCCGCATATATGGCCCGATGACATCACCCAGTGGCCGGTGAGGAGACATGAAAGTCCTCGTTTATTTTATTCAAACTAAAACGAAATTCTTTGTGTTGCTGTGTTTGAGGTGTGCAAATGGAAACATCGCTGTCTGTCATCTCTGAACTCTTCTCCTGTGGCAGGTCTGCACTGACCCAAAGCAGTGGAACCACACTGGCTACAGACACATGGACTGTGACATCAAGGGCAGACCCTGCTGCATAGGCACTAAGGGCAGGTGGGAATGATTAGCAGACGTCTCGTTTAGTTTTTACTCCCGTGCCTCCTTGGTGGACACGTCGCTCCCAGGACTTACATTTGTTCTGTTTTTGCTGCGTAGATGTGAGATCACAACCAGAGAGTACTGTTCTTTTATGCACGGTTACTTCCACGAGGAGGCCACGCTCTGCTCACAGGTAGTGTGTGTGCAGTATGATCATCTGTTTCCTGTGTGTGTGTTTAGTGTGTTCCTGAGCACAGTATTCTGATGCAGGTCCACTGTCTGGACGATGTGTGCGGCTTGCTGCCCTTCCTGAACCCTGACGTTCCTGACCAGTTCTACAGACTGTGGCTGTCCCTCTTCCTCCATGCTGGGTAAGAACACAACACCATCATCTAGAAGTCTGTCAGTGCTAAATGCAGGTCTCCAATGTACACTGCAAAGGCTTTTACACAGAACACCTTTGAAGGTGACCCTTTTATCAATGTTCAAGGTACTTAATTTCCCTCTGGGATTAATAAAGTATTTTTGAATTGAATTGAATTGAATTTATTGTCATTTGCATCATGCGTGGTACATGAGGTGGAATGAAATTGTGTACTCAAGGTTCCATTTACACCCCAAAATAGCATAAACTTTATAATAACATAAAGGATAAAAAAGAAACAGTATACAAGGGTCTAAGATCTAAGAAGGATTTTTACTGAAACTTTTTTTTACTTTTGGGCATTTGTTATAATGCGTAACCATGGCAACAAGGTGTTTTTTAACAACCAGGGGCAGATGATTAACACCTCAAATACCTCAACTACAGCCCCAAATCCCAAATGAGTTGAAAAGGAGGGGCCGTGGACGAATTCCCATCAACCTGGTGGTAGTGCTCGAGTATCTGACCACCAAGATCCTGGAGTTGGTGAGAAATTCGGCTCGTGACAACTGGAAGACCAGGATCATCCCCCAGCACCTTCAGCTGTCTGACCGTGGTGACGAGGAGCACGGCAGGCTGCTAGGAGGACTGATCATCGCTCATTCATTCATTCAACCTTTATTTAGACAGGTAAATCCCATTGAGCCTCGAGGACTCATTTACAAGAGACCTCATTTACTTCCATTTAGGTTCCATTCTAGAACCTCATTTAGGTTCTAGAATTGCGCCGCTCCAGGTGGCTGCATGTTGGAGCAGCTCTGTTACTTTCATTCTGAGATTTTGCTTTTGGAAACTTTAATTCCTCTTTTTCTGGATGTAAATCAAATTTTTTTGGATGTTTGTTTCCTCTGGTATCGGATGCTGTGCAGCTGGAAGGATTTTTACTGAAACTTTTTTAGTTTTGGACATTTGTTATGATGTGTAACCATGGCAACAAGGCAGTTTTCTACAACCAACAGCAGCTGATTAACATCTGAAAAGCTCAAATAATATCTCAACTACAGCCCCAAATATCTAATGAGTTGAAAGGATGTTCTGTGGACGCATTCTCATCTACCTGCCAGCTGTGCTCGAGTGCCTGACCACTGAGATCCTGGAACTAGCAGGAAACACGGCTCATGACAGCAAAAGGACAGTATCGTCCCTCGGCACCTACAGTTGGATGTATGCAGCGATGAGGAGCTCGGCAGACTGCTGGGAGGAGTGGCCATCGCTCTGGGAGGAGTTCTGCCCGGCATTCAGGCGGTCCTACAGTCCGGGGGAACCGAGAGGCCAGCCGAGTCTGGGTGGACGGATCAGACGACATCTGCAGCCAGTTTCTTAGGATCCACTGTGGGATGGACCTTTACAAGAGATCCTTCCTGTCTACAGCCATCAGCATCTATAACATCTCTTAATGAAATGAGGATAACGAGTTACAGCAACAAATAATTTCCCTCTGGGATTAATAAAGTATTTTTGAATTGAATTGAATTGAATTGAATTGAATTGAATTGAATTTCAACAAAGAAAGATGACAACAATGGACAACAGCAACAACAATAAACAATTATAAAAAGTCATACTGCAGGTTTTTTTTCTTTATTTTTTTTACAAATAGGATGGCTAAAAAAAAAAAAAAGGTAACCAAAAAAAAACAGCTAGATTCTAAGGCGAATGTAGAAAACTAAAAACAGGAACATGTCTGCATTGGTCCCTGCCAGGAGTCCAACAGATTCTTAAAGCCACTTAGAGAGGTCAAAGTCGAGAGCTTCAAATCATTTTGTAAGATATTCCAGGAAACAGGAGCGGAGTAGGAGAAGGCCCTTTTGCCTAGTTCAGTCCTCATTGAGGGAACACTGCGGGTAATAATGTCCTGAGAGCGCACTCCGTAGCTGCACTCACGCAGAGACATGTAGGAGAAGATGTATAAAGGCAGCAGACCAAGAAGTGATTTAAAGATGAAAATGACGCTCAGAGGAATTCTGCCCAGCATTCAGGCAGTCCTACTGCCCAGGAAGACCGAGAGGCCCACCGGATCTGACAGCAAGCTGGATCCAGGTGGACGGATCGGTATCTGTGGCCAGATACTTTGGCTTTACTGCAGGAGATCCTTCCTGCCCACAGCTATCAGTATCTATAACAACTCTTGAATGAAACCAGGATGATCAGCTACAACAACACTTAATTTCCCTTGGGGATAAATAAATTATTTTTGAATTGAATTGAATTGAAGATATACGCTAAACAATAATAATATAATATAACGAGGTGTATTAAACAGCAGCTGAACATGAGTCTGTTGTGAGCAGATGGGTATGAATACAGCAGCTTAAGGGTAAGAAATCAGCAGCGTGGATGAGGTGTCAAATGTCTATTTAAAGTGGCTTTACAGTGGTTGTGAGTGACATACAGTGATGCACAGTATACAGTGATGCACAGTATAGAGTGATGCACAGTATAGAGTGATCCACAGTATAGAGTGAAGAGTGATCCACAGTATACAGTGATGCACAGTATAGAGTGATCCACAGTATAGAGTGA